GAGAATGACCTGCTAAAGCTGCCTTGTCTTGGGGGAGCCTCGCGGAGCAAGGAGCGCGCGAGGCTACGTACCATGGCAGTTCTGGACTTGAGAAACCAGTCGAATCGGAACTGGGGCGAGTTCCGGATGCACTGTCTCAACTCATCATACACATTTTCTTTATCAAAGCCCAGCTTGTGGAGCATACAGATGAGAAAGCGATCCTCCTCCTCAGTGTAATTCTTCCCCTTATTGGTACCATATGAGATCCTTAACTGGTGGAAAGGGGCTTTGTATCTGCCAATCTGAACAAAGCGAAAAAAAAGAGCGTAAAGAAGAGAAAATGCAGAATAGATGAATGAGATGATAGATAAAAATTAGATCATGATCTGTAGTGCTAGGATGTGTCAGTATTTGAAAGATGTGATAAAGATACAGAAAAGGGAGCGGAAAGAAAATAGGGAGAAAGGACTACCTTTGTGTCAAGTGCTTTTTTAATGCTGATCCGCCTCTGAATTCTGGCCTCTCCTCTTTCTATCTGAGCCATGATCTTTTCTATATCCTGGAGTTCATTGCATCTTTCCCAGAACACAGCTAAAAAGAAGAGCCACTGGTTAAGTTTCTTAGTACTCAGCTTACAAACCCTTTGTCTATCCATTTCTCAAAGGCAAACCTACTTTTGAAGCACAAACTGCTGTAACAACAATTCTGTAACAATAGGCGGAAGAGGGAGGATCACTGCAAGCAACCAAAAAGCACCACAAGTGTCTGTAAGACTTGTAGGCTTTTCAAGACTCTGCCACATCGTAAGCAGCTCCTCCCCTTGCACATTTGGCACAGGGACCTTGCAGCTGCTGACCCGGCAGTGGAAGTTCCCCCTCCAGGACATCGGAGGCAGGCAGCCACGGGCGCTTAGGCTGCCAGAGCCCAGGGTGACCACAGGCACTGACAAAGCACCTTCTCAGCTCCACACCCTGTTCTTCCACAAAGGGATAGCAACAGCGTAAAGAGTTAAGGAAACTACTCTTTGGCTAATGTGAGATCTCCCTGCCTAATAAGCACATTCTCTCAGCATCTTCTTTGCAAAAATTACGAAGATACAATTGGAGAGAGCGGCCTGTCCGAGTACTATGGATTTAGAATATTTAGAGGTGAACCCATACAGGCTTGTAGGCATGTTTCTGTGGAGCTATAACTACACAGCTGCTGAGTATGCTAAAACTTCAGACACCTCCCACATCCACCACTGAAATTCCACTATGAATGTCTCAAAGATCAATATAAGAAATACTAACAACACGTTTAGCATGCACACAGGCATTTCAAACTAGAAAAGATGGCACTAAATACTGATTTGCAGTGTTAAGCACTTTCTTTTTAAGTAAGTTACCTGAGTATTCGATGACTTCCTCTGGGGTTTTTCCTTCTACTTCTCGTGCTATATTTTCAATGTCGTCACGGCCCCACTTCTCATTCGCTTTGATGAACTGGTTAAAGTCTCTCTTATTCCAGTTAGTGAATCCCTTTATAGCAATAAAAAGCAAACAAAGGCACTTCAAAGAAATCTACTGAAACAAATTTGGAGGAAGACAAATGGTGACCTTCTGTGCAATAATATTTCTGTCATTCCAACAATATTAAAACTTTTTTTTTCTGTAGTTTAAAGTTAATAGAAAAAAGAAAAAAAAAAAAGAACCACATGCTTTTCTACTACGGTTTTTCTACTGGTGGCTCTCCCTCTACATACTGCAGCATGATTAGCACTGGGTCCCTGCTCAGAAAAGTGGTCAGTGCAAACTTGAGAAACCGGAGCCTAGAAGCTGGGACCATTCCCACTTACTCACTGGACTTAAAACTAGGTAGGCTGGCAGGCAGATGCAGCAGCAGCTCCATGCACTAGTTGGGTGGGCATCCTGCGAGGGCATCTAGGCCCATGACAAATATAATGCTAAATTTCTCTCAGTCACTTTTCACAATGAACCAAAACTTGCAACCACATTAAGTAGAGCATTTGTGACCCAGTAACAAAAGAATTTCCCTACCACAGTGTAAAAGAGAAAGCATGCTGATGATTTAGATTTCACTAAAGCCTCACCATACCTGGGTTAGAAGCTTCTCTTTTTCCTCTAATTCTTCATCATTAAGAGGCTCAGCCTCATCAATCTTAAGCTGCTCTTCCTTTTGTGTCTGGGCTGCATTTGGTAGGTCGGGATTACGAGGTACCTAAAAGGTTTTAGATTGTGTATAATTTGGCAAATAAAACAAATGCTAGTCATAGCCTCTCTATTGAGGGTATTTTTTTCCTATTACCTTGTAACCTATTGTTTTCCTGTAGTAGAGGATCTCTTTTTCCAATAGTTCAAAGAGGCGTGGAGGAAAGAACTGGAAGTCCTGAACATTTGGCTGCTTCGGAGGTCGTGGTGCCTGAAATGTATAGAAAGTTTGCATTTGTCTCCCTTTCATGTATAGAAGTTGCTTGCTTGTAATAAATGAATGAGAGTTCAGTTTGTGAGAGACAAAAGCTTAAAATATGCAAAAACAGCACTCTCCTTGATAAAAAAGTCAACAGTCAACTCCAGGCAAACTCAAGCATCAAGGCCAGCTTTAGAGGTCAAGGAGAGCAGGTCCTTCAGGGAGAGGGGGCTGGGGTGGGGAGAGCCACACAGGCACCCCTTAAACAAAGCTCAGGTGTCGGAGTAGCAATAAGGAAACCCTGCAGGTAAGGAAAATCCAGCACTACTTAGGCAAAAATAAACATTAAAAAATGTAAAACAATATGAGAAACACCCTGGTTTTACCCTGCCTACGGTCTTCCTTTTCCTGGTAAAGGTTGAGTCCACTCTTAATTCTTCCTCACAAAAGTTCATGTTAAACCCTTTGGATCTTTCTGAATTTAAGTCCTTCAGGTATCTCCTGCCCTTATGAAAGTCATTCTGATTTAACATCAATCCCTTGCTTTCACAGCTGCCACCATTTCTCATGTTTGTTTGAAAGAGTCTTTAATGAGTCAACTCACCTTGGGAGCCTTTGGCTCGCTGACTCGCAGAGCCTCTCTGAAATAGGCATCCACAGCATAATTGGCTTTTCTTTCTCGTTTAGGTGGTTCAATCCACTCTGTAAATGCCATCTACAAAAACAAGGCACCCCCAAGTACCCCAGGAAATATTAACAGTAGATCTTACAAAACATTAATAATCAGTTGTGAGTTCCATTAAAAAAAGGTCAATAACTGCTTTACATGTAAAAGCTGTAATTAATCTTATATACTTATTTTTGTATGTTACATTGTACTTTAACAAATCCACATTTTAAATAAAATGTGATTCAATCTTATAAAATCAGTGCTTTCCTCTAAAACAAATTTAATTGTTACCTTTTGTTTTTCTCTGTAGTCTTCTCCTTCAAAATTATATACACTGGACTCTGTATCCATTGTGAAATTCCTGAGTGAGCTCTCACCCATCTTGGAGAGCTTTTCATTCATTTCTGCAGTCTAGGAGGGAGGCAAGGGCACAGTAACAATTTTGGAAGAACAATAAATTACAAAATTTATAACAATAAAAAACAAAGCTGTTTGATGAATACAAAGTTTCGTAATAGCAAAACCCATAGTTGTCCACCCTACACTGAAGTTATGGTCCAGGCAGATACTATATTACTGTTTGTTAGTCTTTTTGTTTTTAAAACTTGCTCTCACCTTCTTTGCACCTCTTTCCAAAATGTGATCAATGTCTTCATCTGTAATCTCACTCTCCTTTGATGCAAACACATGTGTTGCTCCATGTCTGATCATTTGCAGCATTTCATCCTTCCCAAGTTTATTCAAGTTTTGATCCACCAATCTTCCTGCAGATAAAAGCAACTTGCTAAAGAATTTACTGAACAAGTAACAAAGTAATTTTTTTGTCTTTCCAAGTCAACCCATCCTTATGGAAAAATAAATTTCCAAGGGGCTCAGGACTTTGCACTCTATTCAGAGAATCTCATGAGGGCAAAGGCAACATCCCCATTAGCTCTTAGGGGGATGAGTTCATTGTAGTTTGCAAGTTGTGAGAGAAAGAGGCACATGATCACTATAACACAGGAAGGGAGAAGCTGCACTCATGCACTTGCCTTGCTGAATGACTATGGAATCGAGCCGGAGCTTCATTTCTGCCCGCTCCACTATTCTTTCTTCCACTGTGTTGTCTGTGATAAACCTGAACACTCGAACAGTTTTGGTTTGGCCGATTCTGTGCGCGCGATCCTAGGCAAAGGGCACAAACACAACATCAGTGCTTGCTTTCAAGCGCATACACACCATCCCGCGTTAAGTTTTGCTCTGTGGATTTAGGCACTACTCAGTGCTATATACAGCGTAACCCATGGTATTTCTTCCAGTTGAAATAATTTTATAGCCCAAATGTGACTACGTGTTCCTCAAAGTGAAAGCTGCACTGGACCTAAAAATCAGTCTTAGGATTACTAAATAGCACAGAAATACTGTGCTAAAACAGGAAAAGTAGCAACTCAGTGTGGAAATACTACATTAGGTCACACATGCATGTACAGGAAAGCTGTGTGAGACAGCAGAGACAAAAGGATAACATTTCCACCTCATACTTACCATAGCCTGAAGATCTACTTGGGGATTCCAGTCTGAATCATACAGAATTACAACATCAGCAGTAGCCAAATTGATTCCAAGACCTCCAGCCCGTGTACTCAACATGAACACAAACTTTGAGCTACCAGGTTCATTATATGCATTAATAGAAGCCTATATAAATAAAAAGAACATGTCAATTGAACCAAACATTTTAGGAATACTAGTTTTACCTAAGTAAAATACTTCAAAATTTAGATACCTGTCTCTCATCATGAGGTGTTTGGCCATCCAGTCTACAATATTCATAATTTCGCCACATACAATAATCTTCCAAGATGTCTAAGACTCTGGTCATCTGACTGAAGATTAAGACTCTTGAACCTTTTGGGGGCAAAAAACTTTTATGATTTCACCAAAACTTAACACTTACTGAACTCTATGAATTTGCCTAATAAAAAGGGGAAGGAGGGCAGTTGCATGTTACTATCAACAAGAGAAGTTATAAATAAAAGGACTCATGTAAATAAAATAATGCTGGTAACTTTCAGGAATATATCCAGGAATATATTCAGGAATATATGCATAGAACAACAAATTTAGACAAACTCTGCTATTTTTATTGACCAAGAATCAGAATGTGAAAGACCTGGTAACATCAAATCTTTCTGTGAATCTATAATGCAGGGCTGCAGATGCTGCTACCAAGTACTGCAATGAACACCCAATATTTTAAATATCATAAAGACAATTGTTTTTATATTCTTTAAATATAATTTATACTTATTCTGCAAAGGAAATTTTCTTGGGAAAACTGTGGAGATTTATTGAGGAAAAAAATGTAGCATAGATAAAGAAATCTCTCTACCAAATATATATATAAAAAAAAACATATGAAGAACAAAATTTTTAAGCATTTGTGATGGAATCAGTCTATCCAGAAATAAATTTGTTCTTAAAGTCAATTTACTTATCTGCCAAGAACATTAAAAATGTGAAGTAATTTATGCAAACACACAACTACTTCCAGCCTACACTAGGGCTTTAACTACAAGCCAGAGTGTTACAGAGCTTCTGTTTCCTTTCACATCCTCCCAGTCTTGACATTTAATCATTAAAATAAACAAGCCTCAAGACACAGAGTGCAGTATACCTTGTTCTTTCAACTTGGGTAGTAATTTGTCCAGTACTACCATTTTGCCACTGTTGGTGACCAAATGCATGTCTGTTGTGTAGGGTGGGCCGGGTTCTGCTCCGTCGAAGAGGTACGGGTGATTGCAGCACTTCCGCAGCTGCATCAGGATATTCAGGAGCCGCATTTTGTCCAGCTTCCCGGCAGAATTGAGAATGTCGATATCCTTCATTAGGATCCGTGTATACCTGTACCAAGGAAAACAACCAAGGCTCAAGCAGCTCAGACCTTCTGAGCGTCAACCACAGCACAGCCAAGCACATGAATTACCATTCTCGCTGCATTTTGCTGAGACCCACATAAATTTTAACTTCCTTCTTCGGAGGCAAGCTTTTCTCTACATCAGCTTTAATGCGACGTAAAAGGAACGGCCGCAGCACCTGAGGGAAATTGTGTCATGAAATATATTTTGGAAGCCGAAATACAGAACATGTCTATGACAGAAGCAGACAGATACTCTCTGTTCTAGATGCTCAAACTGCAGAGCTATTACCTGATGCCCACCACATGGAAAAGCCTCAGACACACAGATGATTACACAAGGGAATAAATATTGTGCCAAGACCCAAAGATTAGGCCTTTTTTTTTCCTGCTTGACTGAAATCTCCAATGCTACCTTCATAGCATTAAATATAATGTTTACATTAAAAGTAATGTAAACATTAAAAAACCCAAACTATCAACCTTCTCCTTCAATGTTCTCCTGCCTCCCCAAAGTCATTTCCCGTTCACCTAGGCAGTGAATCTTCTTATGAGTGTCTCCAACCTGTTCTCAAAAGCTACCATTGTTTTTGAAATGACATCAGACAAATTACTTTGAACCTAACTTAAATGAATGTAACACTTACACACAAAGCAGAAACACTTACCATATGGAGACGCTCCACCAACTTTTGATCCCCTAGACAGTTGTTTGTATCAAACCACGAATCAAAGTCCTGTGCCAAGAAAATAATTAATATGTATGAAGTTCCCTTTCAAGGTACATTGCAATGTCACTGCAATGATGAGTAAGAACCACTTAGTGATTCTGTCACACACTCAGTAAAGGAACAGGGCACCCATTCTGGTCTATCTCGCTTTGCTTTCATCGTGCAGTTCAGCAGTACCTCTTCATCTACCTCAGCTCACCATGAACTTTCCCAAAGCCAAAACCGATTTACCATTATGTTTGTGTTTGGTTTTTGTTTTTTGAATCTAAGCTGCTTTTGTTATAGAGCAGCTGAACACAAGCACAGCAATAAGTATCCTCCCAAGTCGTTAATGTGATAAACTTCTCAGCAGACACATGGTTCTGCTTCTAAGCTGCTTTTGTTATAGAGCAGCTTGAACACAGGCACAGCAATAACTATCCTCCCAAGTCGTTACTGTGATAAACTCCTCAGCAGACACACGGTTCTGCCGCTTAGGGGAGTCTACTGCTGTTTAAATACTGTCTCCCCACTCACAGGAAAGCACGCAATAAAGTACTTAATGGAAAAAGACCAAGTTAGTTGTTTTAGCTATCCATATGCTTAGTCCTATTTTGAAATGCAGCTGAGATCACCTTCCCATTGTGATTGCTAATACCTCTCACATCTGCTAGTATTACAATTCAAAAACAGCCACGTCAACAGAAGTAGCATTAACTACTACGCTTTACAACTTTACAAACATTTACCAGCCATCAATCTCTCGTTATCAGATCTGATAAGAGATCTGATTAATTATAATAACACGGTGACTGCAACCTGAAATACACAGCATAATTCTCAGACCTATATATATATATTCAGGTCTATTTTCAAAATCTGGAAAAACACCAACATTCATATGCTTTGACTAGCAAAAATTATGACTTACTTCAGATGAGTTAAACACATCTGGCAAAAGGAAGTTAAGAAGTGCCCAGAGTTCATGTAAGTTGTTCTGAAGTGGAGTTCCAGTCAACAGCAACCGATTTGTAGTCTTGAATTCCCGCACAATTTCTGATAACTGAAGGAGACAGACACACAAACAGATATAACAATGTCACCAGCCTTCCCCACACACCTACCTAACCCACGCAAATATCTGTCAATGAAAGCATAAATTACCTTAGATTTTTCATTTTTAATCCTGTGGGCTTCATCTATGACTAGGTATCTCCAGTTAAACTTTTTGAATACTGATTTCTCCTTGATGAGCATTTCATACGACGTTACGCAGACATCCCATTCTCCTGGCAGCAGCACATCTCGGACAAAGGCGGCCTAGATGGCAAAGCAACAGTAGTTCATTACTGAGGATTTCTCAAAAATAAGACAAAGAGAACACATTAGTGATGACAATATTTTAGAGCAACATTGCTGCTAAATTTGAAATTAAGATTAATTATAGATTTAATATATGACTGTTCTAAGACTTCAGAATTTTGTCAGTGCCAAAGCTGCTAAGACTCCTGTGGCAGAGCAGGGAAGAGATTTCGGCTCTGAATTCTGGTTTGGGAAACTGCTCATGACTGTACACAGGAGTTTCTGAACAGCTGAACTCTAAGAATATTGAGGAAACTTGAGGAAAGCCCTCAAAAAAATCAAGTTGAGTTCCACTTTAAAACACTGGAGTTCCTGTGCATCAAAAATAATCCCAAACACAGCTGCAGTAGCTGCCTTTAGAATAATAATTTAAAAACACTGCCGATGAGCAGATTTAATGACTTCAGTAATAATTACCCCTTCCATAAATAAATGAATTAACTCCAGCTGACAATTCTATAGATGCACCACCCTAATTCAACTAAAACAAAACTTTCATTTGACATGCTAGAAAAACAAGAGAGAATGATTCAAACAAAAGTTTGTATGTGGTTGAAAATATTTTCTTATAATTGATAAAAATCAACCAGAATAAGATTCATCTGAGCACTACTTTTTCCAACCAATCCCTTTAGACACTAAGCTCACAGATGGTTTTCAAAGAACAGTTACTTGGTGAGAGACCCACAATCCTCTTAAGAACCACTATCACAGCTGTACTATAATGAAGCAGTTAGAAACAAAATTACTCATTTCCAGGTACATATACCTCACACGATTGACAGCACTTTATATCAACCCTATATAAATAGAAGATAGGAACACAGGAAAAATAACCATGCCAAAACTTACTCGCTGATCTTTGTCACCGATCAAACAAACTGCTCGAAGGGTAGGTACCCATCTCTTAAATTCATTCATCCAGTTATGGAGAGTGGATTTCGGAACTAACACCATGTGGGGACCAGGAATATTTCTGTAGTGTTTCATATACCCAAGAAGCGAAATTGTTTGCAGCGTCTTCCCAAGACCCTGCGAGAGAAATTAACACGTCAGAAGAAATTTCTGAGGAAACACCTTTAAAAAACCTCCAATGTGATTTCAGAGAATGTGGCAGAAGACACAGCAGCCTGAGTTAATGAAACTCATGCTGCTTCTCTCATGTTAAAAAGAAAAAACATTTTTTCAAACCGATGTTCATGTTCATAAAGTTAGACCTTTGTATTACGTGAGGCATATTTTCAGAAGGCAAAGAAAGCTTTACTTTGTTTTTTTTTTGTTTGTTTGTTTGTTTTTTGTCAAATAGGTGCACTCTGTTTATTTGGAGACCAATGAAACATTACAAACTTAAATTTGAAGTAACGAATCCTCTAGGACAACTCTGATAAGCCACCACATCATTTCAGTTCTTCTGAGAAGAAATGCAAACTTAAGCTAATGTAAAAAGCTGCATACATGAAAAAAACACAGTCAGCTTCCTTAGAGCACTTTTTAAAAGTGCCCTGTTCATTATTCGACAGAAATATTAAAGATTTTCAGTATATAATGTTATCACAAGAAAACTGAGGAAGACATGCATAAACTGGATCATTCATATCATTTCAAAAATTCGGAAAGATCATGACTTGGGATTAAAAAAACCCCACACTGCACGTTATTTTTGGTTTGAGAATTAAATTCTGTTTTCAAAATGAGCACATTTCACTTAGTGAAGAAGAGAAAAAATTTTTACAGGCTATGTAAAAAGCATTAAGCAAGACAATGAACATTTAAAAATAAATCCACAAATATTTAATAGTAAATATTTAAATTCCTCAACACAGGATGTATTTTGGAGTACAACAGATCCATTCATTTATAAAATTTCCTAAACTACTTTGTTAAAATAAGCCTGCTCCATTTACAGCTGTACTCAGCAAAGAAAATCCTGTATTCCATGGTCATGGTAGGAAAGACCTTTTAACAAGTCTCTCTTGCTACATCTACTTTAACATTGTTTTTCCCAGCAAATTTGCCACTGTTGCACTCCTTGCTGCTGGGGATATCAATCCATACAGGACACCTCTAGGCTGCCATCTTCATTTTAGTCTAAACACGACAGGGAGTGTTCCCACATCTGTTGGTCTTTTCATACATGATACCCTTTCACATAGGGGAGTTTCAAAATATTGTAACAAAATAACTGCAATTTAAAGAAACACAGAAAGGATGTGCTATTCTGTAGAATATCTTTATCCCAGAACTGTATTCTCCTAACGGGATAGAGAATCCATTTTCATATGCCTACTTCATAAGCTGCCTACATGGCTTATTTAAACTAACAGATAAATGTGGTGTACAGTGTTTTAACATTACTGATTTAAAACATGCTAAAAAAAATACGGCAAATTATACACTGCATGTTATATTATTTAAAAGAATACTCAGCTGAAGTAATTTTTTTTCCTGCATGAGTTGTGCTCCCACCCCCAGGACAGAAATGCAGGCTACCGACGTACCATTTCATCCGCCAGGATGCCATTGATGCCATTTTCATACAAAGAGATGAGCCAGTTCAGTCCTCGGACCTGATAATCACGCAGCTTTCCCCATTTGACATCTAAAAGGCATGGAAGAACAGACTAAAAGATTTGTAACAACTTACCAAAGAACCTTCCCATTCCTCTTGACTGCTAATTGAGACCGATTATCTACGCTACAGAACAGCATCAAGCAATAAATTTCAGGTAGTAAATTCCAAAGGATCTTTGAGAGATCAAAGACACTAACATGCACATTTTGTTTCTATATGCATGAGAAGCAAGACCCCAAGATATGTGAAAACTCTTAATTTATAAACCCTCCCAAATCAGAACATACTAGAGCATTAAAACAATAGCATACTAAACTCCCTATTAAACAAATCTAAAGCTGCTGTGTACTTTTAATTGTGCCAGAAGGCATATTACATGTGGAAAAATTGTAAGATGGTCAACTCAAAAGCAGAACTTTGAGTGCAGATACAGCTGGCCTGGGAAAGAGCTGCAGCTCTCCCTTCCCAGCCACTGAGATGCGTCAGCTGGGCAAGACTCACTGCACTCCCCTTCTAGCCTGAAAACAAACAGCTCCTTGCTAATGTATTTTGTTCAGTTAGGTTGCTGCTGGTTAATTTTCTTCCCCCCACTCCACCAAATCAACTCATTTCCCATGGAAGGGTGCAAATAAACTTCATTTTAAAATACACAGGTTTAAAGGAAAGGAACTTTCAGGGGAAAAGGAGAAAAGAGGGAACATACATGATGGAGATTCTTCAAACCGAGTGCACACATTGGTTGCCTTGGAGCTTTCTGTTAAAAGCTCCTCATCTTCTTCCTGTTCTGTTCTACGATGCCGGTAGCTTTTTAAAAAAAAAAAAAAAAAAAAATTTTGAAAAAAGTTTCTGACTAACCCAAAAGACACTAAACTATTTCAAAGTCAAATCTGAGATCAGTGTGGTACAGACATAAACACCTAAAGGAGCTTCTTGAAGGTTTCTTTAAATGAACTGATCCACTTACATGCCACTTCTTAAATTTTAAGAGCCACTTCCTAATGATTGATAAACTGTTACATTCCAGCTGAGATTAGCAGTAGCCTCAAATATTAGTGTGCTTAGCTGCAAGAGAGACTTAAGGACAGTGCACTTCAGGAGCTCTAGAGCACCTGCCAAGAGCTAGAGATACTGCAATCACACAAGCAGCAATGAGGACAATCCAAATTTCTCGATTCCTGATTTTCAAGCTGTCAGTAAGACACAGAACACTGATGCTCTCCACAAAGCCTTGCAACTTATAGCCATGGAGGCTCTACTCTTTTGCCCGTTTCTCTTCATGCTGGAATACTTTTAACCATGACAGTACCTCACCACAGCACTAAATTTCTACAAGTCCTAGAATTCTTAAACAACTCTACTCAGCTTGTAGGGAACTTTCAAAAAAAAATAAAAAATAAAAAAGGCACACACGCTGTAATACACACAGCCAAACAGAACAAAAGGCTAGCCAACTTCACTTACATTCCTGAAGCAAAATAAAACCCGTAATTACAGTACAAACTGGCCTACATGTCATCACTTACTCGCCAACTGACAGTAAATTCTGCTTCTCATCCTTCTTTATTCGTGGACGTCCTGGTTTCATTTTCAAAGGTGAAGTAGGAGTTTTCTGAGCAGCAGGCTGAATGAAGTGAGCAAACAGCTCAGTCTGCTTCAGCAGATACTCAAATCTGTTTGCTCTATCTGTTTGCTGTTGACAAAGAAAATGGAATGGAACAAGTGTAAGACACTGCAATATGCATTCGATTTTTTAGAAAATAGAAAATGCTTTCAAACCATTTCAATTTGCACACGTACAACAAACACACCAACAATGCAACCACCACGGACACACTCAACACTCTTCCACTGGCTGAAGGCTAACCTCGAGCACACAATAAAATCTAAGAGGCAAGCCAGGCCTGCCTACGACTGAGATCTGGCTTTAGCACAAAGATTGCGAGGGTGTCACTGGACAAGGCAGCATGGCTCATAAAAAAAGAGTCCCCCTCCCAGAAATTTTCTCCTCACTAAGATTCATGTGATTCTTTGGTGAACTCGTTCACCTCATCAGCCTAGCAACAGTCGCTTTCTCTTTTACTGCCTTAAGTTTCCTGTGTGCTCACACTCCCTGCTTGCTCAGCGGGATAAACCACCTCACCTACCTTTGATGGATAAGCTAAAGAGGCAGCACGAAGGGCAGGCAGAAGGGGAGCAGAAGAGCCCCGAGCTAGAAGGCAGAGCACCCATTTCAGCAGCAGAACTGCCAGATATGCTCAGCCTAATTTGTCACACTGCACCCTTTGATATGAGACCCTGTTTCTGCTGCGCAATATAGATTACAGGAGACAACATTAATATCTAAGAGGGTCAACTGACCCTTTATGATGGGTTCCACTTGGAATCAACTCACATTCCCACGGCCACTTCGACTACTCTTCTAAAGTCTCTGTAAGTTCAGAGACAAGTGAGAGAGAAAACAGCAACCACACTGATGCTGCCAGGTGCCAAACACAACCTGGTGTTCAGCACCCTGTGCAGTTAACAGGCAGCCGACCTCCTTAGTAGAAAGGAACAACACCAGCTACAGCATTTACAAGTTCACTTCCTTCACCATTTGCCAGGAAAGAAATTAGGAAGAGAAGACTAAGTAATTTTCTTGTGGTGACAAGAAGAAATGTAGGCAGCAACAAACTGAGAACAATCAGTTTCACATTCCTCTGAAGAAATTCTGTGTGCAGTCACAGACACTGAAATTACAAACTGGAAGGAAAGAAAGTAGGAAGAACAGAAAAAGGAAATGTGATGAGATGGTAAGAAATGGATGGCTCCATCCCTAAATTCAGGATATCCTAACAACTACAAAAAAAAAGGAAAACAGCAATTTTCCTCCTGCTCAATCAGCACAAAATTACCCATCTTCAAGTTTGAGGAATCTAACCAGAGCTTTGCAAAGAATGAATTAAATTGAAAAAAAAAATAAAAATAAAAAAAAGGCTATCAAGATCCCTTTCTCTTTAAATTAATGATAAAGTGTAGGAAAAAAAAAAACCAGCAGCTTAGCAACAAAACTCTCTCAGCTTCCTGTGAATTTTGAAAGCACTGATTTTAGGAAGTTCCTCTTTTATTTACTTAGACCCGTAAATGATACTGTTTATGAGAACCTGTCCATTTTCAAGTCTTCCTACTAAAGTATATTTCACTCGAAAATTTATGTAAGAATTTACAGTATCTACTTAAAGTCTTAGGATAAACTTTTTATTTTTCTCTGCCCTACCTGTTAATAAATAAATACATATATACACACACACACACACTTTCGTGTATATATATATATATACACACACACACACTCATACACACTTGTATAAAGGACTGCTATTCCTGAAGTTCAAGATTTTTCTGTATTTGTCAATAATATAAAACGTCAGAGACTTCAACAGATTCCATACGTAAAGGAAGAAAGGTAGTAGCCGGTCAGGATGGACCCTCTCCTAGGGGGGAGATTCTGTTCCAGAATCTTCCAGTTTCTGACTAAGAAAGGGACCTCTTTATGATCCTCCTTATCTGCAGGAAGGACTATTTCACAGACAACTGCAAAAGCAATGCACAATTCTTGTTATGCCTTTTTCCCTGAAGATGCCTGAATACTTCTCATTCTCCCATCTGTCCTAAATCTAGACTGGCACAAGACTGCTAGGACTATATCTTGAAACAGCAAAACACATTCACAGCTGCACCAACACATTACTGCAATGGCAATAAAGAAACAACAGAAAACAAAACGCTAATAAGGGAAAAGAGATTTTCTTAGACTTTTTTGGTTTCAAATTATTTAAATGTTTCTGAAGGACTAGACAAAAGCCTATACATGCCGTTAACAGATTTCAAAAGAGCCAAACACAAAATATTAACCGTTTAATAGCAGATAGCTGTATGCATTCCCAAACGCTACATACCATTTTCTCTTCATACGTAGGATCTGCTTCCTGGATTTCTTTTTGTTTTCCTGGTGATGCATCATCGAATGATTCCTGAGGGGAAAAACATTAGAAGTAACTTCTTTTCTGAACAACAGACTTTGCCCGTGTAAAGGTAAATAAGCTGGATACAAATTACTATCTACCCACGCCGGGTAGCGCCTCCTTCTTGTGTTGCTGCGGTATAGCCACGTTTCCATTAATTACTGTGAAATTAACTAGGTCACAGACCCGTGATCCCTCCCACAAGAGGAGGCCCAGAGCTAGCTCTCCATAATCCAATCTAGCTCCATCCCTGTAGCATCACGCGGGTGCAAACAGGAGAGCCAGCCGTGGTCCAGGAGCCCAGCCGGCCACCTCTAGGACGTGGAACTAGAGCCTTCCCAAAGCTGCCCCTGGAAAAGGAACTGCCAGAGAACCGGCTCTGCGCTGGAGGCAACGGCAACTTCACGTTCTGCCCTTGTTGCGTGTGACCCCAATCCCTCCACGCTCTGCTCCAAGCGAACAACTCCACGTAAAGAGCTTGCCCTGGAAGCAGGGCGGCATGTTGGAGATGCCACATTCTTCCCTCCTTTGTTTACTAAATCAGTAACTGTTGTGGCCACGAGCAGGACGGCGTTTGTTTTGACAGCCCCTCCTCATCCTCCTTCCTGTCCACTCCTTGGCACACTGCCTTCAACTTGCCTTTCAGGACAGGATTTTTTTTGTCCTTCTCTCCTCCAGTTAACGCTTTCCCCCATCATCTCCCACATTTAATTTCCTCTTCTCCCGTCACTAGCACCAAAAACATGACAGGATGTCCATGACAGGATAGTACTTTACAAAATACTTCTTGAAAGGGTAAAAAAAATGAAACGAGATGTCGAGTAGTCTTTACTCCAAAATCATGATTCCAACGGGGAATTCAATGAATTCAATCCAGAACAAAGAAGCAGTGTGAAACAAAGGGAAACAAAACAGGGGTTGCGCGTGGGGGAGTGTCACCTTGCCAAGCTCCTGCAGGTACGTACATGTGAAAACACCGACACAAACGCCTCATTTGCCAGTCAAGAGACTCAGCACAGGAAGTTACAGCTAAGGATCTTTCAGAATTTTGTTTTCTCATCTCCCAGTGTATATTTCACAACCATCTTTCACTGGGCACGAGGAGGACAGAACTGTCTGAACCCCTCGACAAAATTCATGTCTCTCCAGAGATGCTGGAAACTTCAAACAGAAAGAAAACACCCACAAAAAAAGCAGCAACCTGCTCTGACCTCTTCATATGTGACAAAGACAACAAAAACTTCCAATTTACATAGACAGCAAGAAAAACAACCTCAATCTTTTAGCTGACTAGAGCCTCGAGGAAACCATTTAAAAGGAAAGCTGCATTTATGCGAGGCTGAGGCCAACCCCTTCCTCAAATAAAGAGCAATTAACTTTGGAAATACACGAAAGAAGAAACCATCAGAAGCGGGCGCTTCCCAGCATCCGTGCACTCTCTGCCCGGCCTGGAACGGCCGTGTTTCGTGCAGGCCCAGGCGGGACCTGCCGTGCATCTGCTGCCACTTGCCAGCGCGCGCAAGGGAGGCCGTCGCACCGCACGGCGCGACGCCGAGGGCAGAAAACGCCATGCAGCTCCGCATGGGGAAAAGCAGGAGCAGCCCGGGGATCCACGGAGCAGGCTGATCCCTCGGGCCTGGCGCGGCGAGGAGGCAACGCTGCCATAAGGCGCGCTGGCCTCTCCCGGCGGGCACTCGGAGCCCCTGGGAACTTCAGGAATAAGCACCTGTTGCCGAGAGTCAAGCAAAACAAAGTAAAATAAAGAAATAAAAACTAGAATAAAGTTTAGAAAATAGAGTGAATAAAAAACAGAACGGCACAAACGGCAGGGACCCCGGCCGGCCCCCAAGCAGCCCCCGCGGCGCAGGCCGCGCGCGCTCCCGCCGCCCCTAACGGCC